GGGTGCAAGTAGGGTGGTAAGTTTAGTGGGAATACCTGCAGTATAAAGGATGTGGAGGATTGGTCCGAGCACACTGCCCTGCGGTACTCCCGCGGCCAGAGAGCAGTATTCGGAGTAATCTGATCCTTGGAGGACCCGAAATTACTGCTATGTCAGATAAGAGCGGAGGATTAGGTAAAGAGTATTTGGAAGGACACGCAATAATTTGTACAGCAGTCCCCTGTGCCACACGCGGTCAAACGTTTGTGCCGCATCAAGGAAAGCTCCCATACAATATTCTTTGCGTTCGAGTTTCTGGTAATAAAAACAGGAATACAGTGGCGCTCGCTACACGCATCTGAACGGCCTGCGATGTCACAAGAGGTATAAAAAAAGAGGAACTACATAATAATAGTCCTCCTGGGTATTGATGAAGAAGATGGTGTCTACTATGGCGAGAACTTCAATAAATTGTGTATTGAATTATAAAAATAAAAATCAACGTAGGTTTACGAGATACAAGAATTATTAAACGGCAGCCGTTACGGTTTGTAAAATTATTTTACGAGGAAGCCGGTAATAAAAGAAAATATTGAATAAGAAATAACTGATTTTTACGACGGCCGCCGATGGCAATCGGTGTGGGACGAATTGGAAATAAACCGATTCTCATTAAATTGTATGAGGTGATGTTTATCAGTGGAGATTTTCTAGCGGCTCGCCGAAAACCGGACGAGAGAGCGAAGACGTACGGACGAATGACCGCCTCGAGGGATTTGGGCCGACCTTCACCCGGTTCGCCTTCCCCCGGGATAACGGCACGGTAACAAGAAATTTAAATGTTTATATTTAGAGGGTGGGCCGTAATTACATGACCGGCTTGACGACTACTGCTTAGGTCATTACTACGAGGATTCGAGGTGAAAATTATACTATATGAAAATTATACACATTTACACACTCAAAAACAAAAAAAACCGGACACTCGTATTTTAGGCTTTTCTTTAGTAAACGAACACCTTTTCGCATTTTTTCTCCATTTTAAACCAATTGCATTTTCTTTAAGCATGGAAAGACATCTTGAACCAGAAGTTAGCAATATTATTGTGAAAATGAGTCATCGAGGTAACGGGCAATGGCAGAGGCAGTTGGCGTTTCTCAGAGCGTGGTCTCCCGGGGGACCCAAGGAAGGACAGAAATATTGTCATTGTTGGCTTTACATCGTATGCCCCTTTGCGAGACCTGCAGCCCGCAACTCAAGAGAATATGGTGAAGCGAGCGCCTAGAAGAGAACACCAATTGGAATGCAAGTTTACTGACGAGTCGCGTTTCTGTCTGTTAGTGATAGCAGGCGACGAAGAGTCTACCGAGTACAGTTGATGCGTACAATGCCTCAGTTCGTGCTCACTTCAGTGCAGTTTGGAGGAGTAGGTGTAATGGTCTGGGCTGGGATTTACACTGGAGGCAAACTGGACTCCATATTGTTGAAGGCAACCTCACCGCAGTCCGCTACGTACAAGAAATTATCAAGAGATACTTCCCTCAAACCAAAGATCTCATTAGCAAAGATTTTCGATTTCTGGAAGACAATGCCAGACCTCATAGAGGCAGAGTTGTTCATCAATGTTAAAAAAAAACCTGAGGATTTCCCATCTGCCCCTTCCTCCATTGTCTCCAGACTTCAATCCCATTGACCACATGAGGGATGCGTTGCAGAGAGGTCTTTTCGATCACCTACCGCAGCCGGTTGACCTGCAACAACTGAGTGCAGCGTTGCAACATTTATGGAGTGAAATTTCTTATGAAATTAGTGACAAAATAATTAATAGTATTCCTCACAGGTGCATAGAGGTTTTAGCTAACAGAGGGCATACATACACGGCATTATTTTTTTTTTCGAGGGTTCGCAACAGCAGAGGTTATATCAACCCTTGGAGTGCCGTGTTTTTGAAAAAAAGCCCATTTGTAAGTATGTCGGGTTCGAATGCAGGGCCGCTGGATTCGAACCCGGAACCTTTACCTTACAGTGATGAGCAGCCTGTCAATGCCTAAAGCCAGGAACACACTTACCCGATGCTACGCCATGCGACGCTACCCGACGCAAATCCAAACTCCGATTTTCCATAAGGTTGTATTGCCCCCGTGCACATCTACCCGACGCTATGCTACGCTAACCTACCCGACGCTCTGCGATCCCCACTGTCCAAATTTTCGTCGGGTCGCATCGATTACAGTCGAAGACAAAAGAACCGGACACTCATATTTTTACTCAAACTACATGTATTATTGTCTTTATATTAATTACAACATGCTTATTTTAATATAAACCAAATTAACTGTGATTAAAAATTAATTAGTTTTTATTTAAAAAAATTAATTTTAATGATTTGGTAGAAAATTAATCAAAACACCGGAACACGATTTTTTGATGTAATGAATTTAACTAACAATTTATTGTAGTTGCTTCGGCGGTACATATACTAAAATTGGAACAATTTATTACACGGTTTTGCTCATAAAATTTAATTAACAATTTATTACACGGTTTTGCCCATAAAATTTAATTAACAATTTATTACACGGTTTTGCTCATAAAATTTAATTAACAATTTATTTCATAATTTTGCTCGTAAACATTATTACGACTCGTAAACGTAAAAATTACACCATTTTCGTCGGGTAGCATCAGAACAGACACTCATATTTTTTGTAGTTTATTTCAAACTAAGTGCTTGTAATTTTGTCGTTATATTAATTACAACATGTTATTTTAATGTAAACCAAATTAAACGAGATCAAAAATTCCTGTTTTTATAAGCATTGTTTAATGATGATGGTTAGGAGTAACTTTATTTAAAACAATTAAGTTTAACGAAGAATTTATTAGATGGTTGTGCTCATAAAATTTAACTAACAATTTATTACAAGGTTTTGCTCAAAATAGTGCATTAAGAACAAAAGATGCGTTGCGATTATGATACTGGATTGTGACACACGCTGTGGACTGTACGCGATGTGTGCTTGCATCGGATAGATGTGCACACCCCACCAAAACGTGGCAAGGCGTCGGGTAGCGTCGCATCGGGTGTGTTCCCGGCTTAAACCGTTGCGGCCACCGACGCTCCTTGTCGGGGCATTAATTGTTTAAAAGAAAATTGTTGTTTCCAATAAACAAAATTATGGAATTGAAACCTTTTATATTGTTCTTTTTCAAAATCCCTTATTTAATTAAATTTCCCTTTAGTGAAAACAATTTCTAATAAATTTTTATGTAATTTATAATAAAAATGCTGTAGAAAATAAATACTACAAAATTGGCAATATCCCTATTCATTTTTGAGCAGGTTATATGTATTTTTTTATCGTTATATTCATGAAAAACCAAATTAAGAGAGTCACTAAAATAAGTATGTTGTAATACAACGATAATAATATATACATATAGTTGGAAATAAAAAAACAAAATATGAGTTTCCAGTTTTTTGTTTTTAGAATATTTTATATACACTATTGAGTTGGATTCATATTCCTATATTTTACTCTATCAACCGCGATTAATTACGTTTTGTTGTGTTCAGTCTAATTCTACATTAGTTTCCTCAATTTATTTTATTCTGTACTAAAGTGATGTCTTCTACTATATTTTTACTGATCCTTGTATACTTTTTATTTCACTGTATCGATGTATCTACTTATTTTTTACTTTCTTATTCTACTTTGTACTTCTATAGTGCAAAATTCTTATTGAATTTCCCAATGTTTTCTGCGAAATGATAAACTTGTAAATTGGACACTACTGATCATTTGGCCTGCCTATCCTCCTTACCGCATAATAATGGTAGAACAAAATTATCAGTAACGAGCAAATTACTACGTACTATAAATTAATACTATAACATAATCCTTACAATTCACTAATTTCGTGGTCCGCTTGACCAATTAATATATTAAAATTAATTAAGGTTTTTAGTTGAGATAAAAAAGTCAATGACACGAGCGGGATTTGAACCCACGATCTTCGGTTAGATACGCCGCTGCTCTACCATTTGAGGTATCGTGACCTCGATCCACTCGGACACTAACTTCCCATCTCAACCTCACCTTTTGAATTTGGCAAAAAATGGCAAAAAGGAGGGAAAATTCATTACAATTTTGTCAATTGACCAATAGTTTATTAATTTTTCTCACCACTCTATTTTTTCTCGGCCGTCTAGATTTTTGTTTTTACCCTTATCTTTAACGATTAACCCATCCACGCGTTATTAAACTGTCCTAAGTCAATTAAAATACATACTATTTTAATACAGTATCTAATTTAATTTTGGCTTCAACTGTTCTCGATGTAAGCTGTGTGACCCCATTCCTACAACTAATTTTTTCACACGTTTTTTACTTTGAGATTTTCCGTTCAATCACGCTAATAAATACATTGATACGGATAATCTCTATCCTAGTTAGCCTAATTGGCTCGACAGGTCTGTGGGTACTCGATATTTCATCACAGGCCGTGTCTGTACATATTTAAATACACACAATGCTAACGTAGTATATACATTACTATTTTTGTGGATAATAAAATATATTGCATACATATGCAGAAAATCATGTAAGTAGGAAAAAATCATCTCAATCAATTGCATTAAAAATTATATTTAAAATTCATTGACCAACGTTATTTTTAAATCCTGTGAAAAGAAAATTTAAAACAAGTAAAGGTTTTATTGATTTATCAAACAGATCTTATTATTAAGACGCAAAAAAAAAAAAAAAAATGAAAACGAAAATATAAACACACAAAAAATACATTTCGCAACGACACATGCAATATGATTTATTAATACATATACGCTAAACAAAATCCTTGATCAAATATCACGTAGATAACCAAATATATTAAACTCTTGTAAAAGTTGTAATAAACATATTGCCTTTTAATATGTTTTTTTTACACAATATATAAACATAAATTATATATAAACACGTGTTTGTATAATAATAAAACAAATATAGGAAAGTACTCATACATTTTGACTGTGTAAATGCTCAGCACAAATATTACATCTATATAAAATGTTATTCTAAAAACGGTGTAGGTTTGCAAGATAAAACAATAATAAAAAAAAGATATTTTGAATCCAAGAGAGCTCACTTTAGACCTTAAAGAAATCCCGGTTCTGGGCTAGCCTAAAATACACAGTCGCCACGATCTCCCCACTCTAGCCCAACACGTCATTCATGACGTCATACTAAACCGTTAAAGTTAGACCCTTCACCAGTCTGATCAAATGGGGATTTGCGCTCAATATTTATATTATATTTACATATTATATGAAATATTAACCAGCAGAATTGCAAGAACATGTTTAATGGATAAAAACGAGAGAGTTAGCTTATATGGTGCTAGGACTCCAATCGGTGTTGTGTAGACTAATGCACTGTGTATTTTAGATTTACTTAATCTAAATCATGACACTAACTGGGTAAAAATACTTAATACATAAATTGTCAAACATTAAAATTATTTAGCTTCAAATCTTTTATAATGACTAGGTTTGAATAATTATCGTTTAAACTAATATATAATTATTTAAAATCATTATTCATATTTAAAGCAATTCATATATTATATTATAAAAATATACAATCGAGAAAGCAAACTTCATACCATTATATATTTAATTGAGAGATACTTAATATAAAACAGGTATTAAACAGTTTTGAAACAATCATTGTTTGAACATACCATCGACTATCATAAAAACATATTTTATGGTATTGATATAAAAAGTAAAGTAATGGACGAAAACAATTAATGTTTAAATATAGTATAAAAATATTTATACTTTATTTATGAGCAATATTAAAAAAGCCATATGTATATAACATAAACTTTATAATGTAATAATTTATTATTTTATTTGTATCAAACATTTTTTTTCTGTAAATAAAAACATTAAATATTTTCAGTATTCAATTTTTTTTTCTTGAATAGCAAAATATTTTTAAAACAATTTTTGTTTAAATATGCCAACATAATGTACAAATTACATTAGCTAACTATTATACAACTATTTAAGCCCCAGTCCCGTTAAAATTAGTAATATAAATAAAATAAAAATTTTGTTTTTCGTTGCTTAATCAGAATGTGGATAGGGGACTTCTGCATCATCATTCTTTGGACTTCGCTCTATTGGATATTCTGCAGAAGATATTCTTTGTGCTGAAATGTTTCTTTTCCAGAAGGCGAACATCCCAGGAGGCCGCGATGCGACGGGCCAACGGCCGTCTTCCGTCCGTATGCAAGGTTCTTGAACGCCTTCCGATATGCGATGACTACCGTCTTCTCTTTCTCGGGACTCCTCTTTGATCTCGGGCTTTCCTGGGACCGTCAAACGCTTTGGAATCGGCTTGATTATTACGGGACACTCTGCAGCCGTCGGCGTAGGAGCGGACGGCCTGTAACGTTCTTCCTTCGACGACAAGGAAAGCTTGCTGAGGGTGAGACGGACTTCTGTGTTCGCCAACCAATCGAGATTGCAACAGGTCATTTCCTGAGGGGTGTACTTTTTGAAAATATCCTTCCCCTCTTGCGGCGGTAGATCGTCGAAAGACAGCCTCAAGTTGATTATCTTAGCATTATTTTTGGAGCTTTCGGTTTTGACCTCGTCCGGCAGCAGTTCTGGCATGGAAGAGGAGTCTGTGCTTGTCAGGGGCGGCGGAGGAGAATCTGGCCATATCTGCTGCTGGCGTTTTGCGGGAGGAGCTGAATTAGAATCGCTGTCTGTCTCGCAATCCGTTCTCAGCAAGGGGGGTCTAGCAGGCGATTTCATTCCAATTTTCCTCGGCGAGGACATCTGCAAAATTTAGGCGATGATTCTAACAATTCTGGACATCTACAATCCAGAAATAACATTTAGAAAACTGCATCAAATAAACCTAAATTTGAAACACCTTACTCTTCCCAAAAATCATACATTCTTAAAACTGACGATTAAAAACAAAAAAACAATATGTAAAGGTGTGCAAAGTTAAAAAGTTGTAAAACCCAGGATTACTTTCCACCAACAAAACGAGCGATTTTTTAAGCTTAATTACCAAAATTTGAATTTTTCTAAGCTTATTAGCTTAAGTTGTTACCCAATGTGAATATCTGTAATCCCACAATCCAATATACTTTTCAAAAGCTCTTTTATCAAAGACATTTCAAAAACAACCTACCGCATCCTTTTTAAAATCCTAAAACCGAAGAAGTAAAAAAAAATTAAAATTGTAAATAAAAATCGGATTTATATTGTATATAAATTATAAAGGGAGGATCATTCAAAATTTCCAAAACTAGAAGGCAAAAATTTATAATTCCTAAAATTTTACAATTTAGTGAAGATATTTTAAAGCCAAGATTTAATTTGGTTGATTTTTGTTCATACTAAACGTTTATTCTGTTTGTTGTTTGTTTAAGTTTTTGTTTTTCATTATCCTTTTGTAAACATACATGTTGTTTCGTTCTTTCTCTGAGGATCTCCAAAAAAACTCCGGCTTTCTGTACAAGCTTTGCTTTTTGACAGCAGTTAGGGATGTACAAAAATATTATTTTTTGATGCAAATTTATATGTAATGTATATTCTTGCGAATAAAGATTTATTATTATTATGTAGAATAATAAATTAATTTGAAAATATCGGTTAAAGGATCATCATAATTTTAATGAAAAATGTGACAAATGTGTAATTTTTAATGGGATAACTGTTAAAAAAACTATAATTTTTTGTGCTGAAGCGACTGGTTAAGTTATAAGTTGGTGCTTAAAACAAAAATGGCAATGAATATGGAGAAAATTAAAAAATAGTCTTAAAAAGTAGTGAGTGTATATCTTCTAAAAATGCCCAAATATTAATATTGTATAACACTTCATTATTATCATTGTCATCACAAGATGGAAGAAACGCGTTATTATTCAATATAAAACTTAACTAATATTCAATTTTGTATTAAAAAGCCAATTAGAAAGAAAACTAAAACATTCGGATCCTTCGTTAAGCTTTCCTTGAAAATAATAGAATAAGTCCTTCATCAGGACTTTGAAACTATTATCAATAATTCACAAGGTTAACAAATGCACACCTGTTTACAACACTGAAACTTATGTTTTCCGTATTTCCGGTCACGATTCCGCTGAATGGACGTGTTGTAGATCTTGTTCCACTATCAACTCGGAAATTCGCTAGGTTCATAAGTGTCAGTTTTTCGTGATTTTCTGCCTTTGTTGTGCGTGTATTTTCAGTTTATTATTTATTAGTCGATTAGTTTTTTTGCGGAGGATAAGTAAAAAATATGGATGATGGTATTATATAAGATTTATATATAAAGGTGCAAAAACACCCAATTTTTTTTTTAAATCTGCATCTTTTACGCACCCTTTAAAGACTTTAAATACGAATTGTTATAGAAAGAAAAAAAAAATTTTTTTTAGGTGGATCAGCATGTTTTTTTAAACGACACCCACTTACCGTAACAATTAATAACTCAACTAGATATTAGTAACATAATTCGAAGTTATTGCTGTCCTTAGAAAACTTAATTTCTCTATATTTAACAGATGTCGACGATGTTTAGGTTTTGTGTCATAAAAAAATAATAAAAAAATATATATATCTAAAGATGAAATCAACGAAAAACCTTCAAATGTTTTATTTTGTGTCTATGGTTTTGATTTATTAAAGGCTTCAAAACCCTCTGTAAAGTTTCACATCGGTCGGTGGGTATCAAAATTATCTGTTATTTTTTGTTATTTTACTGAATTCATAGGGGAAGGGAGGGCATTTTTTCTTCATAAAAATGCATAACAAATCTAGAATTAAATTCAACGTTATTACAATCTTAGGAAAGCATAATACCTCTTCTATGAGTTTTTTTTAAACGAAGTTTTGATGTTATATCACTACAAGTGAGAAAAGTAAGAATGAAATCAACCGAAAAACCTCAAAATTTATTTTATACCAAAGGTCTGATTTATTTACGGAGGCCAAGTTCAAGATATTACGTGGATAGTGCTGTTTCAAGGTGGAGCAGTTTTCAGCAAAACACACACACATACAAATCGTGGGTGAGAAATTTCGTACCTACATCTTGAAATACCTAGCCAAATAGATAGAAATAAATATATATATATTTTTTTTTAAATCAAGAAACAAAGTTCATATTCGTTTTCAGCGCCGAAAAAATACTGAAAAACATTCTTGCAAGTCAAAAAGTATTTGTTTTCCAAATTTATTTGCGTTACAAAAGCACCTTCGATTTTTATCAAAAACCACAAACATGGTGATAACTTTGAAACGACTACACTAGCCCGTTGGAAACATTACAATTATGTAAACCACACGTAATAATACAGATCATAATTAATGAGAACCGGAGATGTAAAATAAAACGTTTGGAAAGTTTCTGTTGAGTTCAGCTTATTTTTCTTATTTATAATAACATAAACAACAAAGATTGTTGACATAGGTTGAAAGAAGAAATATTAAGCTGTCCAAATTGTTGGTGAATTGTCTTTCGGTTTCTGTCTTAATTTCATTAAAATCCAGAGGAGTTATGAATTTTTAAGTGGCCACCAGACATCGGAGAGAAAAAAAAATCCGTCGAATCCAGCCCAAAAATATGTAGTTTTTGTTTGCTATAAAAATTTGTATTAAACGTCCGCATTGTTTTATATGTATATATAATTTTAAAAAAATAAACATTTTCTCGGCCCTTAGGGTCCAATGGTAAGAGCACTTGTCTAATCATTTTCGACTTAGTATCACCAAAAAAAGGCTTAATTAAAATCTAAGATCCCAAGTTAATACAAATTTAAATTGTCTGTCACTTTGCTAATAGCTTTGCTACTTTCATTGTATATAAGGACTTTAAATCGTGCTTAAACAAGTCCGAATTGTTTCTGGCCTACTTTACTCGAAGTGTCTTTCCGTTTTGTTTAAATATCTATTTTATAATCTTAATATTTATTACTGTCTTATCTAATCTAAAAAAATAGATTGCTATTAATAAACATGAAACTCATGCACAAAAACGATAGAAATCAATATTTAAAAAAATGCCCATTATTTAAAAAAAATATTTTCTTGGCTCTTAGGGCCCAATGCTACGAACAGTCTAATCATTTTGGACCTAGTATCACCAAAAATAGTTAATTAAAATCTGCGATCCCATGTTAATACAAATTTAAATTGTCTGTCACTTCGCTCGTAACTTTGCTACTTTCATTGTATTTAAGGGATTTAAAGGTGCTTAAACGAATCCGAATTGTTTTTTGGCCTATTTTACTGGAAGCGACTTTGCGTTTTGTTAGTATCTATTTTTTATATATTTAATCTCATTTAATACAAGGTTACATATTACAGTTTTACCCTATATTAAAAATAAATCGACTGCGAAATAATGACAGAAATCTGTATTTTTAAAACGTCGTTCATTGGGCTAATACTTTCCGACCTAGTATCATAAAAAGGTTTACCTTTCTACCTTTCTGGTTTTGTAAGTTTTTATATATCCAATCTCATTTGATACAATCTTAAATATTATTGTCTTGACCTATGACAAAAATCGACCGATATGTAATCAACTTCAACTGCATGCATAACAAAGACAGAAAACGATATTTTAAAAATGATGTAAAGAACTTTTTTAAAAATAAATATTTCTCTATCCGTAGCACACCCCCTTGTGAGTGTTTTTCTTTTCTTTCAAATTGGACTTGAAATTTTTTATACAAAATTATACAGTTAAAAGCTGATATCATTTATATCAATCTAATGTACTATATAAACAAATTGGTCAATATCTGTCAAAGCCTATTTTATATAAAAACCTTGGCCTGATTAAAATAACAGATCCTGAAATAATCACTTTTCATAGGAAACAAACGTACAACTTAAACATTACAATAACTTTATGTAAAATGTAGTTTATTAATATTCTCGTTTTGAGGACAGAGTTTGCAAGGAACAATTTTTAATGTGTTCATTAATAAATATTTTGTTTTTTTACTTAAATGGACCATTTTTATACTAACAATTTATATTCTAAATGGTCTCGGAACTACTAGGATTGAAATTTTCTTAAATAAAAATAAAAATTACACGTCATATAATTTTATTAAAATTTACTTACCTTGTACAGATTTGCCCCAGCCGTCCGCCACGTTAACACCTACTGAGTTTGTTATCCGAAATTCCATTGTTTACAACTGTAGTATTAAAATGAAAGCTGTAGATTTAAAAGGAGAATGTTGTTTTTGTTTTTTGTATAACTGGTTACTATTTAAAAAAATAGAAAAATGAATAAAAATGCCAATTTATTGAAAATAAATTTATCTTCAATATAACAATAATCAGTTGAAAGATTAACCAATTACTTTGTTAATCTTTCAATAATAAACAAAAGTTTGAGGTAGGCCATGGAATAAACTTAAAATATTATTAAAGCGGGTAGTTTTTAACGAAATTTGACCAACTTTGACACTTTTAATTCCGCAGATCCTGGTACCTTGCTATTCTTTCATAAAGATCGAACGTAAATATTATATCATATTTTTATTTGTATTTATAGATCATTTTTCTGTGATTTTTCTCTGCAGAATATCGGACGTCCTTCCTAGAAATGCTGAAAAAGAAAATAGTTTATTACTGCATAAATATTTCATACATTTCAATTTTCCTAAAGACTAGCAAAGAATCATTAAAACAAGCCATTTTTAATATATCAAAGTCAAACAAATGGTAGTTATTTTATTTTATTTGGGATCTTATTTTTTAAATCTGTACGCCTGCCAACTGTTTCACATGTGGATCGCGAGCACAGCACTTACCACATTTCTAACTAATAAACATAAGTGGTGTCTAAACGTTCTAAACTTATGGAAATATATGGCATAGTTGTTGTTTTTCGAACCATCAAGAATCTCCCTAAGACACTATATCTGAGACACCCTGTAATTTAAAAAGTTTCACATTTTCGATTAAAGAAAAAGCCTTCTCCACATTTGATATCTAATATATATTTTACTTATATTACTAGTGAGTTGGAAAAATATCAAATGATTAACCTCGGATTTTTCCAGATATGTCGTTTGTTCAATCATCAATTTAACACCATCATCACATTTGCAAACAAGTAAAAAAACGTGAATTTTTTTACTGCAATACGAAATTAAAAACACGGAAATAAATGGTTGTTTCGCCTTCGGCGGTGTTTTCGAAGCACGACTCCTGACCTCCCGGAACTTCGTAGGCCGAGGGTCGAAGAGCGTTCCGACAGCTAGTTTTAACGGACTTTCAAAAATTGCGCAATCATCCACCTTTAGAAATAGTGGAGAAAAAAAAACTTTGGACGGATCATCACTACGGAAACCGACGGATTATCATGATCAGCATCTTCAACCGATCCGTGACCCATATTTCAAGACTGCGTTGGCCCCTTTCTTTCTTTTTCCCGCTGCGCAGTTTTTTCGGAAGATAAAAGCATACTGCCGATTTGTTTTTCAAAATGCCCTGAGGTTTTGGCGTTGATTTTTTTCTCACGGAAACGAATTTTTATCCCTTCAGAATGAACGAAACCGATGCCAATCCAGGTTAATCTCGACTGGTGACACCACGAATATCAGCTAAATAAATTTGGAATTATTAATAAAATAAGCAACTTTTCCTCCCATTTAGAGCAGTCAGCGCTACTGTTTTAAATAATAAAGTAAGGCTAATAGCAAAGTGTGTACATATAGTTTTATTTAAAAAAATCTCGAACATTTACACGGCGAACGACCTCTCTTACAATTAACGAGAAAAGACATAGATAGAGTGAACAAAGCAAACGAAAGAGATGAATTATGCAGATCATAAATGAAAATAAAATTCCATTTTCCTTTTAGCGCAAAATTTCGATCAGTTAGAGAGAGATTTTGAGATGGAGGAGATAAAAAGAAAGAGTAAGAATATGAGAAAGAGAGAGAGAGAGAGTGAGAAAGGAAAAGAGAGAGAGTGGTAGAGAGGGTGAGAGGGAGAAAGGGAGATGATTTATCCCCGATCATATATGAAGAGAAAATTCAATTTCCCTTTTAGGGACAGAATTTCGATCAGTTAGAGAGAGATTGTGAGAGGGAGGAGATAAAAAGAAAGAGTAAGAATATGAGAAAGAGAGAGAGTGAGAAAGAAAGAGAGAGAGAGAGAGAGCGGTAGAGAGGGTGAGAGAGAGAAAGGAAGAAAGGGAGATGATTTATCCCGATCATAATTTAAGAGAAAATTCAATTTCCCTTTTAGGGATAGAAATTCGATCAGTTAGAGAGAGATTGTGAGAGGGAGGAGATAAAAAGAAAGAGTAGGATATGAGAAAGAGAGAGAGAAAGAAAAAAGAGAGAGACACACAGACGGACAGAGAGATAGATGAATTAATATCGTTTTATTTCAAAAAATTTGGAAACTAGATCGCGAACGACCTCTCTTACAAACGAGAAAAGACAGAGAGAAAGAAAGGGAGAAAAGAAAGAAAAAGGGAGATGAATTATCCAGATAATAAATGAAGAGAATTCGAGGTTCAGTTTCCCTTTTAGAGACATAATTTCGATCAGTTAGAGAGAGATTGAGAGAGGGAGTTGATAAAGAGAAATATTAGAAAGGGAGAGAGTGAATGAACGTTTATTTACTGATCGCGCAAGATTTGATCGCATCTAACGTGAATTATACGTTTAGAATAAAATGAAGTTATTACCGACTTTAAACAGTTTCGCACATTTTTTTAAAAACTCTTAACATACAACTGCAACGTAATAAACAAAGAATGAAACACAAAATGGATTTACAATACAATTTATGAAAAAAGGAGCAAATTAATACAGTTCAAAGATAATAAATATTCACCATCTAACCATTTGGTTTTATCATCTATTTTAGTATAAAGATTACACATTTGAACATCTAAAACATCTAACATAAAAAAAGACGAGGAAAAGGACAAAAAGCCAGTTTTCTTTTTTACCTTACATTTGTTTACTTTTCATTTTACATTTCGAAGATAGAAACGTCTCAAAATATCTAATTTATAAATTTTCATAACGCGTAAGTCAAGGTGGAAAAATCGAAGATACAATTTTTGTAAACATCATTTATCAGAAACTAGGCCTATCAAGAAATTGTTGAAGAGAAGGTAAAATGATCTCGAACCCTTTATCCATCTAGCACGTGCATTAATGATTAACACTGATTGATTATTTTATTTATTGTTTGTATAATCAGATTGTTCACAAAAGTAACGTCTTTTTACTTTGAATACATAACGTTTTTTTTTTTACTAAAGATGTAATATTGAGACTTGATTAGTTTAAAAAGTTAACTTAAGTTAATTTTACAATTTTATTTTATAGTGCAATATGTCCAGTGTATATTTGGAATGTAGCGTTGATTTAGTGAATTCATCAGGAGGAAAGTTTCGCCTTTTCGTTGTATGTTTGATGGTATGGAAAATGGACCGAACGTCCTTTTTTTCTAGTTTGATCTGGGGGTCTATTCAGTTCTAGTGTTTTCTTTGAACACTGTTTTCCCATTGTCGAGGAAATTGGAGCGAAAGTAATATTATTAGGGATTTTATTCTTGAAAAAGATAAATCTCCCGATTTCGGGTGGGTATGGATATCGCGCGTTTTATTTATGGTCCACTACGGAACCCACACGCCGACCGAACAACCTGCCAACGTACATTTGTCACCCGGTTTTTTTTGCATACGGCAATTGGTTGTGGGCCTAAATTCGTCCGTAGAAAGGGAAAACGGGCCCGTTTCAAGCCGCTTTGGTGACCTGTTGAAAACGACTGTCACAATGTCCTTCTTGTTGTCATTGCCCAACAACACGGAGATCGTAGAAAATCATAAATTTTTTTACAGCAACATAAAGTACTAAAGAAAATCAATGTAACCTTGGGGATGGAAAAAGTTCTTTAATTACTAAAAACAAGTACAACACAATGATAGAGTAAATTATAATAAATCTTTCCCCTTGATTGCTACATTGATACGAATATATTGGCATATACATTTTTACGCTGTTTGTTTTTCTATTTTTGTTTTAAGTACATCCTTTTATGTTGCAACATTCTAAAGATCTTCGACTTTTCGAACAACCAGGGGCGGATTTATGCTCCGGCGAGTACGTAAACAACCGGAGTGGCCCAGCACGAGGAGGAAAGACCAAACAACGGCCTAAGCGGGGAAAAATATGGGCACAGCTTTGTAAGGTTGTTTATAGATTTATTTTTGTGCCCTGTCGTTCGTATCGTCGTGCCGGCTTTGTAGGGGGTCCGTTCTTCTCCATCGAGGGCTTTTTGTGATGCACGGGTCAAATCCCTTTGTTTCGCCGAAGGATCCGTTATGGGTTGTGTAAAAACCGGCTGGTTTGATGATGCCCCGGATGGAATATGACGTTGCTATATAATTACGGTAATGATTCTCAGATTTTCACGAACACTCTGGATCAAGGTATGATCTTGAAGAAGAAAGCAAATTGAGTTGTTACTGCCAAGCTTTCGACCTATTTTAAGATCATTATCAGGGCAAAAGAATATTAAACATGTCGACAGATTGACATATTAAGTTTTTACAGATTTTACCAAAAGGGTATAACCTGTTTTTAGCTTCTTTAATTTGTTTTGGATTTGGATTTATCTAAGCCCAAATCTGCACATGTATGTACATATATTCATGTACACACATGTACAGAGTGAACGTATCATTTCTCGTAGTCCACCGGCAATTCCAGTTTTTACAATAAATTACCTGCCCACCTCGACAATCACCCACCTTGGGTTGGTAGTCCGGGGTCAGACCTCGGTCTTGTCCAATCTGCCACCTTGGTAGACCAATGGGTGCTGTCAAAAACGCATGCAGTTCCTAGATCCAAACCCATGCACATTTTCACTCATTCTTAAATAAAAATACTTTTAACTCATTCGGGGTGGTGGAGTACTCGATATTCCTCAATCACCCTTTCACCTCTTATCTAACTAAACTAAATGAGAGTAGATGAGGTACTCAACATTCAACCATCAGCGCTTTTACACTATACAAGCACGCCAATAAATACACTCACTCTCAACACACGCTAAGTACACAAAATTATCAGTACTGTATGTAATGAACAACCCTGTGTCCTCCAAAAATCTGAACAGGAGACACAAAGCTTCGCTGCCGTGTTCGAGC